GATGAACGCCTCAGAACCTTCTCCCTGCCTTCTGGCTTCGCCAGCGACTGTCTATTTCCCTTTCATCTCTGCTTATTGCTTTCTGTAAGGGGGCGGCATCTGCATGCACAATATCCTTTTGCTCTATTCAAGGGCCCTCTCCAAAAGCTTTTTCTTCCTAATCACCCAAAAAGGCAGAAGTTTTGTTTTCTTCTGTTTGCTGCGTAAGTACTCCAGCATATGTATGTGAATCTCTATATATAGATATATATACATATATATTTGTATATATGCATACCCATATATGTATATATATATATATATATATATATATGCATGTTATATATATATATATATAGCATGCATATAAATCCTCTTATCTACGTATTGATTGCCTCCCGGCTGGGAAGAGCGTTGCGTATAGAAACTCCGAGGGCAGCACTAAATTTGTCTTCACCGAGGACAGAAGCTTATAGACGTATCTCTCTATTGCCAGCCTCGTTTGTTTATGTTTTATTATTTTTCTTACATCCAATTACCTTATTCAAGGTGTAATAGTATAAGTTCTCCTATACGCGAGTACTTTCTTAGCTGGGGAATACACCTACATCACAACACAAGGAAATGATAGATTATAAATTTTAAGCAGCCGGCGAGCAGCTTTCTGGGTCTCTCACTTCTATTGGCTTTACTCAATCTAATAAACGCTGTAGACACTTGTTAAAGAGTAAATTTAGTCTGCATAGCTAGTCTTCATGCAAGTAGAAGTAATGCACGTCTTAACTACATATATAAAGAGTATGCTGCATCTATCAACACCGTACCCGCCCCTTTACGCTGCAGCTGTTTGTTTTGCAAAGAAAAGAAACGGTGCATGCAGACGTACTCAATCCCCCTATTGATATATGCAGAAAGAATGCTATTGATTCATAAATGTATTATTAGCCTTCAGGGTTGCTCTACTCTGCCTCCTTATCTGTAGAACAGTTGCGAGCTGCAATAAACGATATAAAGGAAGAGCTAATACGAAGCAGCAGATATACTTTGCTCTCTTCTATAAGGAGTAGCACCATAAGGGCTTGGGGTTGGGGGAGGTGAAGGAGTGTGAGAAGAGTTAGAGAAGACGTCTTTCTAATAAATAATTAAGACAATTAAACCCTCTTCTGCTGTCTGCACTGCAACTATAACTATAAACAACTAATGTACTTATGCCCTCATGCATGTTACCTGCCAGAGATTTAGGGTTGAGGGTTTAGAGTTTAGGGTTTAGGGTTTAGGGTTTAGGGTTTAGGGTTTAGGGTTTCTTAGATATGCCAACGCTAAGAGCTCCGGTGCTCCGGGGACCCAGCAGCCAGCTGCAACACACTTCGGAATAGCAAGGAGGCAGAAGTAAAGAATTTTTAATATTAATTATTTAAATAAATTAAAAATAATAAACAAAATAAACGTTTAACTTTATCACAAACAAACAAAAAAAGCAGCAAAGAGGCTGCTGCTGCATGCAGCCCCAAATGTATTAATCGCTGCAGTGGGGCGGCTGCTGCTGCAAGAGAAATGTTTTTAGTGTTTGTTCGGCTTGCAAAGTGTTATTTATTGAGTTTGCTGTCTTTTATTTATTCTTTCTTCGCGTCTTCAAGGTGAGACAACTGCTGCTGCTGCTGTTGCGTATCCCTTCTACTTTATCTGGGTCTCTCTGCTGCTGTTGCTGCTGCTGCTGCTGCTGCTCTTTATTTCTTCTACCTTCTGCACGCGGCCTTCTGCTGTTTCTTTCTTATTCTTTTGATTATTTTAATTTAATTTTGAGCGTATTTTATTCAATTTTACCTCTTCTCTCGTCAGAAGAAAGAGTGAGAGGAGCCCGCTCAGGGCTGCTCCTGCTCGTGGGCTGCATGCCGCTCAAAAGAAGGGTTTCTGGGGTTTAGGGTTTAGGGTTTAGGGTTTAGAGTAATTAGGGTTTGGGGCTTAGTGTTTGGGGCATGCAAGTTTAGCTAGATAATGAGGAGGAGAGAGCAGCACACAGCAACTAAGGGGGTCAAGCAGACGTGTGTATGTTTGTGTTGTTTAATTGTTTATGAATATAATATAAATATATTATTTTTTCTTGTATTGTTTTTATCTGCCTCTTACTTATTTATTTTCTTTCTTTGTTTCTTCTTCATCCCCCCTTCTTATTCTTCTTTCTCCAGTCAACGAAATATGCCTATACACCCCAGAACAAACTCTTTTTCTCTATCTCCTTCATTCTCTCCGTATATATATATATATATATATATCCATATATATCTGTATATATATATATACAGATATACATATATCTATATATAGATAGATATATCTATCTATATATCTATATACCTATATATATAGAGTATCTATATCTATATCTATATCTATCTATCTATATATATATAATGCGTGTGTGCTGGGGTGTACGTGCAGGTGAGAAGAGAAGAAGATGGCGCGAGAGATAAGAGACATTCGGGAGTTTCTGCAGACAGCGCGAAGGAAAGATGCGCGAAAAGTTGTAATACTGAGGAGTATAAGGAGGCCGAAGGGGCAGCCTTTTGCACCTTCTTCTGCAGGCTCTCTGATAACAAAGTTCAAGATACGCTGTTCTAAACATTTATATACTTTGGTTGTTACCGATAAAGCAAAAGCACAAAAGATCGAGAGCTCTTTACCTCCTTCTCTTAAGCAGCAAGTAATACCCGCAAAAAAATAAATGAACATTTAATTTAACTTATTTCGCAGCAATAATATTATTTATAATATTATATTATTCATTACTGCAGCAGGGATGGGAAGTTTATCGGATAAGTGCAGCATAACAATTACCTCCTGCTGCAACAACTGCAGCAGCAAATAAAGCAGAAACTCCTGCTGCAACAACTGCAGCAGAAACTCCTGCTGCTGCTGCAGCTCCTGCAGCAGTATAACTCGATGGACTGAAGCTTTTTGCTTTTGTTTGTCTTTTGCATTTTCTTTGCGTATCTCTTCTCTAGACATCAGCACCTACTCACCGAGTTTGTAGATGTAACTAAGAAGGCAGCAGCAGCAACAGCAGCAGCAGCAGTAATAGCAGCAGTAATAGCAGCAGCAGCAGCTTGCGGTGTCTTCGCGTTAGAGCATTGAGTTTTGCGTACGTAGAGCTGCTGCTGATGCTGCTATGCTTGCTGCAGCAACAGCTATTTGCGTGCAGCAGCAGCAGCTAATTGTGTGCAGCAGCAGCAGCAGCAGCTAATTGTGTGCAGCAGCAGCAGTAGCAGCAGCAGCAGCTCTCAGGGGGGCTCTAGGGTAGTACAAATAGCCAGCAACAGAGAGAAAGTATTTTTACAATTCAAAAAAAACGAAGGACACTGAGACAAAACAGATTCTGACAAAGCGCGACCTGCTGCTGCTGCAGCAAATGCTGCTGATGCTGCAGCTGCTGCTACAGCAAATGCTGCTGATGCTGCATCAGCTGTTAGAGCAAATGCTGCTGATGCTGCTGCAGCTGTTGCAGCAAATGCTGCTGGTGCTGCAGCAGCTGCTACGACAAATGCTGCTGACGGTGCAGCAGCTGCTAGAGCAAATGCTGCTGATGCTGCAGCAAATGCTGCTGATGCTGCAGCAGCTGCAGCAGCAGCA